CGAACCGCGGCCACTGGGAGCTGCAATCGGCCGAACCTGCGGACACGGCAGGTAAACAAACCGGCCAGCCCGCCAGGGACTTTCCCTGAACAAGCAGCGGCCCTAGTTTGAGAACCAGTGACTTAGACTATCTGTGCCTCAGTTCTCTGTCTGTACAATGGGGTGATAGCACTGCCCCACCTCCCAGGAATGTTGTAGGTTGTGAGGTGCTCATTACTATGGTAATGAGGACCATATACGTACCTTAGATACACAGATCAGGGCCAAAGAGCCTGACATAAACCATTCCCTACAAGCTGTTGAGTGACTCTTTCATGCTTTGACCTTCTGGAGTAGACAGCTGCCTTTCCTTGCTGTGGCTGACTGAATGGCCTGATGGCTGCAGGACATGGGCTGGATTCTTATTTTAGAGAGCTTTTCCATAAACATTTGAGCTTTTCCCCTTCCTGCCCTTTGAAGCACAGACTGCCCCTCACTTAGGTGCTGATGGGCTGCAGATGAAAAACGGCGTGCTGAGGCCCTGCCAGGGAATGGCTGCCCCTCCCTGCCACCCCCTCGCTCTGCTGCCCGTCTTGCCCCTCGCTGGCTGTGACTGAGGGGCGGGTTGCAAAGCCATAGCCTGGGGGTCTGGGAAGGAGGACAGAACAAACCGGGCTCTGTTCTCCTGCCGGAGATGGGCCAGAGGAAGGAGCAACAGCTGAGAAAACTGCAGCAGCCACAGCAGTTTAAACAAACAGCGCCCAGTTCATTTGGGTCGTTTGCACGTTGCCGGGAGGGAAGGCGTTGGTGCCAGAGGAACTGGTTTTCACTTCCTCGCTTTAAATAGGCTGGGATTCATCTTGCAGTGTGAGGGAGAGGTTTTCTTTCTCTCCCTGTTCAAGGCTGGCTGCTGGGATAGGGATCGGCCCAGCAGCCGCTGCAGCACAGCAGAGAGCTGCTCAGCCCTTTCACACTCAGATCCCCACAGACATCTCAGTGCTGACCTGCTGCACTTGACCCTGCTCTCCAGCCCCAGGCTCCCCAGCTGTACACCTGAACCTCAGACATCTCTGCCATGCCAGAGCTGGGCCTCCTGCTGCCCTGCTGATCCCTGGCAGTCCTGACCCACACCCGTTAGTCTAGTACTGAGTCCCACAGAGCGCTGCATTATGACACAGCTTTGCCAACACCCCCAAGTGACAGGAGCAAAACCAATCTCATCTCACCTTTGATGTGAGGCCAATCAAATCCTGAGGCAACTAATAGGAGAGAGCAATGCATTCCCTTATATCATCAGCCCATCGCTCGACAGTGTTCTGTGCACGACCCAGCAGCAATGCCAGCTGCTACCAGTTCCATCTAGGCTGCTCCAAGGCTGCGCTCAGCTTTCAGCAATGTCTGCTAGAAAGTCGGATTTGGGCTTTGCTGCCACAGGGTGGAGAGGCTGGTGCATTTGCCTCACCTCCTTTCCAGCTCTGAATTTCTGGAGCAGCCCCATGGCCTCCTCCAAGTCCAAACAGATTCTTCCTGGCAGCCACAGGGCAAGGAGCAGAGGTATTACAAAGGAGCCCCTCGCTCTCCATCAGTGGCATTGCTTGTACGTCTCAGCTCTTTTGGCATCTGCCTCTCCTTTAGTGACAACTGGAGTGTCCGTCACTGAGCCCTGCACCCTCCACCACCCAAAAGGAACCAGAGAACACTTAACGAAGCCAAAGAGTCACAGGAGGGCAGCATCCATGGACTCCAGTGGCAATTCCATCAGGGTGTAACCGATGGGAGAACTGGGCCGTACGTGTTCTCAGCGCACAGAAGGGTTCCGCTCCTGCATGGGAAACCCTCATTACGGCCAAAAGGGAGTTTTGCCTGCACAGGATCAGACCCTGAAACACAAATACACTGGTGTCCCAAGACATCAGTCAGGAGCCGGAACTACTGGGGGCTCAAACGACACACAATAGTAATCAATCAAATAACCATAATAATACCCCACTCTTAGCTAGCACTTTCCGGGGTAGACCCCAACAGTGCCTTACAAGGTGGTCAGTATCACTATGCCTGTTTTACAGGTGGGGAAACCGAGGCACATATGGCGAAGGGACTTGCCCAAGCAGGCAAGAGCTAGCAACAGAGCCCAGGGCTCGTTAGTCCTAGTCCGTGTCCTAGCCACTAGGCCAAGCTACCTTCCAAAGAGGCAGTACATTTTCCCAGCATATTCCCCCCACCTCATCAAAACCAACCAGCAACCATGACTTCCAGGATGGTCAGGCATGGCTCATGGCTTGATCTTGGCAGCCCATTGTATTCCAGGGTCACTTGCTTTTTTAAGTTGGCCTTCCAAAGAATTAATTAGTGATGGCTAGAGACCCCCTCCTGGCCCACGTCAAGCTAGCAGAATGGAGCACAGCACTGCTTTAATGCTGCAAGAGGGGAGAACATGGCCAATGATGTGATTCCTCAAGAGCAGAGACCCATTCCCACATCACGTTAATAGGTTTTCCTCCTTCTGGAGTTTAACCCCGGGCAGACAGGGAGGGGCCAAGAAAGGGGGTTGGGGTCTTGATCTTCCCTAGTTGGGGGTGGGGAAGTGTAGCTGCTGGGGGCTCTCTGCTGCACCCCTCCCCAAATGCCCTGGAGGAGATTGCTTTTGGCTGCACTGCCTGTCTCCAGGCCATGGGGTGGCAGCTCCTTTTCAGGAGAGATGGTCAGGCATCCTGCCCTGCCCCTGTCTCACTGCTTTCCCCAGGGTTATCACCACTGCCCTGATGGGCAGCTGTCCACAGAGCTGTCGGATGGGAGGGTGGAATTACACGTCACTGCAAAATGGGTGCCTCCCCCTCAGCATAGGGGCAAGCAGCCATGGTGCCCTGCTGGGCCCCAGAGGACCTGAGGGTCCTGGAGGTGCCTTGGCTTAGAATCTGGCCCTGACAGATTGAAATAACAAGGCTTTGTTTAGAGTATGGTCTAGTCCTCTTACATCCCAGAAGGAGATTGGTGTCACATGTCCCAAAGTGCTTTACTATTCAGAACCCCTCCAGAACAAATCCCTGCAGAACTGGAAACACCATAAAAAACTGATCGGGGACAAGAATGGGCGCTGGGGACTTGATCACTCCCGGCTGGGGGGCAGAGTGGCTGCTGTGGGTGTCTTGATGCTAGTCCTGAAAACAGAATCTTCTGGCCCAAATCAGGAAAAAGAATTCCAGCCTGGGACTCAAACTCACAAGAGGATGCCGGCAAAATGCTCCTTCTTCCCCAGCTCATAATAAGCCACATGGGCCCCAGGTCCCTATGTTGCAAAGGGCGGGGAGCTAGGGAAAGCTCTTCCTTTGCTTTCTCATTCCAACACACACACTTTCTCAGGACTATCTGCAAGGAGGGTAGGCAGCCCCACTGGGAAAGCAGCCAACAGCAAGTCTCTCTTTGCTGGAAGAGTTGACGCTATGTTCCTGAAAACTCCACTGCCTCTCTTGATGGGAAAGCACAGTGGTCAGCCAGTGTCAGAAGAGGGGACAGCTTCGAGGGGACTCTGTGCACAACCTGCACAGGGAGGGGCTTGGGAAAAGTCCTGTCACATGATGCAGTCTGGGCTGCTCCAACTGGCAAGAACGGTGCTCTTCACAAATTTTTTGTTAGCCCTTGGCTAAGAGTCTTGTGTGGAAGAGACCATCTCCAATATCCAACCAGGGAGAAACTCTGTCAGAGCCTGGCAAGCTGCCCCAATTGTCTCTTCTTCTGGGTGGCTCCTGCGAGGCCCTCCAGGAGCCTGCCTAGGACTGAGCACCGCAGGTGGCATAGAAGGAGTCAGTAAGGCACACAGGACCCCACCCAGAGCTGCAGTGTCAACCAAACTCTTCTGGGCGGTGACCTTTCCCAGGACACCCTAGTAGCGAAACTGAGCTGAATAAAAACCGAGGTGCATGTGTAACCCACACACCTCCTGGGCATGGTGCTCTGTCCCATCTAGTAGCAGCGAGACCACTTAGAGTTAAATGAGCCTGCTCTACAGCCTTAGCTAAGAGCCAGTTGGCTTTTAGTTCTTGCTGTAGGGGTTCATGCACTAAGCTCCAGAGGTCCCCAGTTTGATCCTGCTCGCCGATGACGGGGGTCTGTCGGCATTACACATGCAGGAATCTTGGCTGCAGCAAGGCAAAAGAGACAAAGTATTTTATCTGCTAGCTCAAAAAGCAGCAAGTTACTATAGTCCAACCTAGATGTTACCAACATACACTTTTGGA